TGATGTTTCTTGCTTTTCTTCAACGATAATACTTCAGTGACAATTCTTACTTCTTATTACTTGTTAGCCATAATCCTAGTAATGCTACGGCAGCAACATTAGCCTGTTTGCTTGGGATAGAGTTCCATAGTATAAAAGCCGCAACCCTCCACTGCCCCTCCATCTCTTGCAGGGGAGTTCCACCCCATCCATCCCCAGCAAGCAGGTACCACCCAACAGTGTCCATCAGCCAGCTGAAAGTTAATCCTTATTTTGTTCAGGTTACTTGATTATGGAGCCTCAAGTACTGTTAGTGCCAACATAATGGAGATTAGACCACACAGCTGAAGGAAGGTGGCTGCCTATCACTCCCGGCAGCAATCCCGTCTTGGACTTAAGACAACCACGAACTCCCAATGCTGACCATCAATTTAGCAGTTCCCTCAAATGCTTCAGTTAATTACTAGATTTCACAAGCTAGCTCCTATTATCCAAAGAGGTCAGCCATGCTCTTCCCAGATGGTGTCCCTCCCTTCCCAAAATAAAGTTTTTACTGAATCAACACCTTCTAAACTCTCCCTGGTTACGCAGCAAATAGCACACTGTCACAGCCTAAGTCTGGCTCACACACCTTAAGTGCTGCGTCAGCATTCTGCTCCCTTCTATTACTTCCAACAAAAAAAGAGTCTATGATCTTCCACTTAACGTGGACTAAAACCACTGCACAAAACAACGAAATTACATCCCATTTCAGTCCTCAGAGGCAACATCACCTTGATTCTCTACTGAACCCTCTAAGCATCTGCCAATAGTTGCACATTCTTTAGGAGAGCAGAAGTTGGTAATTAGGTTACTTTCCAAAACAGGGGTCTGAGCAGAAGTTCAGAATCACTTTCAGAAGGAACAAGTAGAGTTTATTCTCCATGGGAAAAAATACACACACACCCCCACAAATCATCCCTACTAACATGTCATTTTTTACTTGCATATGGCTCCTGCTTTTATATACATGGTCACTCTAAAACATTTACCGAGCTGGCATGCTAAGTACTTAGTTTTTCCCTTAAATTTCATTTTTACTGTGTAGGGACAAATTTCAGGACAAAGATATTTGGTGTTATCACATACGGCCCCAACACCAGTTGCTTATTCTATTGGCTAAAGCTGCTAAGAAACCAGGAAATACATTAAAAATCATGATTAATTCAAATAATTCAAAGTTTCACTTTCTGTTGACCACAACTACAGTTGTACAGCTATCCACAAGTCAAAAATAAAAGCCTTAGATACACAGAAATACTGCTTTATGTACACGCAACGTCTTCTTATCTCATTCAGAGCAAGAAGTCTTTTGAAGGGACATCATGAGCAGATTTGTACACAACAATGAAGTTTTATTTAAGTGGTCAGCGGTGAAGGTCTTGATTTTTTTTTTTAGTTTAGTAGAATTCAGTTTTTCCAGAAAAACAACTAGCATACTAATACAGAAAAATCGAAGTCAAAAGATCTGTTTTTACCAACTAAGATGAACAAAGCTGAAATTCAAGTTCAATTTATTTTTTTAAATAATTCCACAGCAAAAACTAATTTTTAAACATTTTTCCAGTTGGTGTCTTTTTAAACAACCTTTGATAAACTACAGGTCTATGTAACAGTATTACAGTGCTTGCCTGTCACCTCCAAGACTTGGCTGCAATTCCACCTTGATATAGAAGCATGATATGCAGTGGTGATCACAACCTATCCCCTCATAAGTGGGCTTCCATACCTTATTTCCCAGAAAAGGCACCTACAAGAAAATCATGTCTTAATACCTACGAGAAAAACTGCACTCTATCACTGTGCTGTGGTTTTTGTTTTTTTAAATGAGAAAGTTCTACCTTACTTTTTTAATACTGTGCTTAAGTTTCACTGGATGCTGGCACTACGACCATTAGTTTTTGTTTATGCTTCCTAATGACCAGTTTCATAATAGTTAGCTAAGAGTAATGTCACCAACTTCCCTACACTGACAATCTAATTATATTGAATTGTGCTTTCTATGCAATACTGTTGGGTATAAATAATTATTCCTCCAGAAAACTAGGCACTTAATCTTTCTTAAGGAGCAGAAGCAGTATTGACTATTCTTCTGATACGTACTGAATGTACTGATACATCCTAAGATACAGTGTAGTTCCCTGAAATTACATTAAAATTTTTAAAAAATCCCCCTCAACTTTGAAGAAATTCCACAATTTTGTCCTTTCCTCCCAATTAAGTAACAGATACACTGCCCAAAATGTTAGTCTGAACTCAGCAGGAATTTGAGAGTCCATAGGCAATTTATCTGGGAGTATGACTTTCCCAGCTTAAGGGGAAAAAAGTAGGGTCTTATGCTAATTGTTTCTTCAGAGCATAAAGTTATCATAGGCTTCCAGTACAATCTCTGCATTATGTCATTGTCTCTGAAGAAGAGCTTCATTGCTTTTTTGTAGAATTTAGAATTGGCTGTTGTAAGAAGTTACTTCATTTACAGCGCACACATCGCTGGGGGTTTTTAATAGCAACCGATATATCATTTAAGTACAGCTATTTACAAAGCTAGTATGTCCTTCCTCCACCCTGTTTATAGTCCTTGATGATCTTTCTCTCATCACAGCTACACATTGGCATAGTGTAGGTGGTTAAGTATCTATAGCGAATCAGGCTCTGGTCAGCCGCATACACATTTATGCTATCTTACCGCAGGATTTACTTGTACTTTACTAGTATTTGACATTATGTTCTGCCTGTGTTAAAAGCACCCCTAGTGTGGGCACAGGTAAATAGGCAAACCACATGCGTACAACCTTGCTAATACTACTATCCCAGCATGCAAAATAAACTAAATTGTAAGTAGTATTAAGGAGAACGTCTATATCTGCAACACACTTCATACTAAGCGTTTCTGCAGTTTATCAAAGAGCAATCTAATCTTCTCTTCAAAGATCTATTTATCTTCACATATAAAATGCATTGATTAATTTATGAGGTCAGAATTACTTACCAGGCTGTAAAGCTCGATTATTTTATTTCCAGAATAAAGTTATTTTGCTTCAGAAAAAGTAGTTTTGCATACAAAACCAACTGCACACCCAATAAAGACAAGGAAATTATCTAGAGTTGTTAATTAATATTTCTGTGCTCACACTGTGCAAGGTATGAGTTTCTTCACCCATAACATTATTTTGCTCCCACAGAAGTGGAAGCAAAATTGAAAACTCTGTGACTTAGAATAAGGGAGCACAATTCTAAGCAGAAACAGAGAGTGGCTACTTAAGACTAAACTGAGTGAACAGAAGCCACCAACACGCAGATTTTTATGGCCAAGCTGAAAGCACAGGGTTGGAATAAAGAAAAGACATCTAGGCCTGAACATTCTTCTTCTATAAACCTTCTGGGATGTTCAATTTTAAATTTGGGAGGTTTAAAATTAGAAAACTGCAGAATAAAAGTTTCTGGAGTAGAGATTAAAAAGCTATCGATATCAATATATTTGCTAGATTCGTCACCTTTGTAATCAGGGAACTGAAGAAACTCAGGCTCAGCAAGCCCTTTAACTTAAGTTTACTGGAGATTCAATTTAAACTGATCTGAACTCAGTCAGTCAGTGATACATAATAAAGTTATCCAATACCTATAACACTTCTCTGCACAACATGACAAATGCTATGCTGGAGACTGACTTTTTGGATTTTTGACAATTGCATCCAATTATCCTCACCTTCCTCATTTGCAAAGGATCTATAAAGCCACTATATTCTACACCTCTTGTTCTTTCAGGTTATTTTCTCATTTTGTTTCCCATAATCATGAAAAGTGATAAATAAGGAGGGAGAAAATGAGCAATGGACAGTGGACAACATAATAGTCCAGGCTGTATCCCCTTAAATACAGAGGATTATATTGATAAATCTGATATTAAAGTGGATGACTCAACAGTTTCTGAAACTCTCATAAGGAAAATTACATTCTACGTAAGCTAAAGGTAGCTACAGAGATGTGCTTTTATGCACTCGGTCTACCGTTTTGTACCACAGTAATCTCTCAACTTTAAAGGCCTAAGTAGCATAACTGAGAGCCAGTAAGAGATGTAGAACACGGGTGACCAACATTTAATTAGCTCTTAAAAATGTACAGCTTTGCTTTCACACATAATAAGGCAGACTAACATCAAACAGTCAACTTTTGAGCGTTATTAGACAGAGGGCCAAGAGGGCTTTTGAAAACTGGACAGCTGCAATAACATCAGGAGCATTCTTATATTATATAATGTAATTGTGCAGAAATTTTTAATTTAGCTGTAAAAAAAAAAAGGCACACTGATCGGGTTAATACACTTTGGTACTGCATCAAGTTCATATTATTCTGTTACCACAAAATGAACTCATATATAACATCTACTGCTTCTTGCAGACACATCAGCTTATTCAGAGCTGGCTTTGGTACCTACACATGGCTTGAAGTGCCTTATTTAATCATAGCTCAAGTTACAAAGATGCAGTGTGCTGGAACAACATTACAGCATTGAAAGATGTTACTACAGTATACTACAGTTGGAAGTGGAAGTTTTTGTTCCTTCACTACAGTTACTCCTATAATGATTGACACAAGGCCATGCACTATCTCCTCAGGGTCTACTGAGGTTTTCATATGTACAGGAAGGATATTAAGCACACAGGTAGCCATGACATGCAACAACACTCAGGCAGTCTTCATCTTCCCCTACTAGGTTCTTCCAGTCTTTCCAGAAGACTGGAAGACCTCCAGTTCTATTGCAGAACAACACAAAACAAACCAACAAAGCAAAGCAAAAAACACTCCTAAGTTGAACCCTTTCAAGGAGAATTCCTGAGCAGCTTTCAACAAGACCAGAGAACATTCCTGAAAGAAATGAAATATGACTACAGGAAAAGAAAAATCCTGGGAGAAAGCAAATACACCTAACATGCTCCAAAAAGTCTTAAAACAAGTGGTAACATGGCCATGAAACTGCTTACCTCTGTCCTTGCATTTGATAAATGTATTATGATGCTCCAAAGGCTGTCCCAGCATTTTCCAATGAATGTTATCCTTTTTCTTTAAGATAATCTCTACTTTCCCAACTTTTTCAGCAATATTCACTAAAAGAGAAAAGGTTTCACACTGTTACTTTTAGTTACATTTTGTACAAAAAAAAAATACTCTTCCATTATAATGACATTTTAGAAGGATCAGTCATTTCTCAAGACACACAGAATTAATCTGTTAAATTAAAATATCAACTTCCAGCTATCTCTTTATAATGTTTTACAATGCATTTAAAACAACACACACTAACTTAATATGCATAATTAATGTATCTTATTTACTAAATACATTGTGAAAAGCTTCCCAGCTCAGCCAGTCAAGAAGAATGCTCATGAATTCAGAATCCTCATTTACTGGAAATTGGTAACTACCACTTTTTACTTCTTCCTTTCTTTTCAAGAGCATTTGACTGAATAATTAAATCCAAGAAAATCCCAGTCTAAGCAAAGAACAGTTTACAAATACACAACAGAACTAACTTCTAATTATTTTAACATTTAGTCATACTCAGAGGGATCAGAGCACCATCAACTTATTACTTTTACGAGCCCAAATGCCACCATTTAAAAAAAATTATTCAATCTAAGCAAAGAACAGTTTACAAATACACAACAGAACTAACTTCTAATTATTTTAACATTTAGTCATACTCAGAGGGATCAGAGCACCATCAACTTATTACTTTTACGAGCCCAAATGCCACCATTTAAAAAAAATTATTCAATGTTACAGTTTGATTTGATTGTGTCAGAACCTTGTGGTAAGCAAAACTAAAGTATCTGATGAGTCAGAAAAACAAATTCAAGTTCCACATTCTGATATTAGAAGAGATATAGAAGTGCTGCAAGAGACAATTTACCAGCCAAGTCTTCTTGAACTGCATGATCCAAGTCTGAAATAAAGAGAAACACTATTTTAAGCAAAAACAAAATTACATTCTAGTCGTCATGTATACATACAGTTGAAGGCTAGAAATACTGAGTGAACTAATGAGCCTAGAACATTATGCATCTTTATCTGGCCCTGAAATTTCACCTGTGCATATCAGTCCCAGTGACTTCTGCAGGCCTCATACATAACATTAAGAAAGGCATCGTTTTCTCCGTTACTTTTAACAATGACTCACGTAAAGCTACCAATCTGCATTTATCTCAATCATTCCACTTGCCCTTTTTGAATAAGGGCATTTTAATAACCATCAAAAAAACACTTGAAGAAAAACTTTCCACAACTTCTACATCAATTTCTTACTACACCTTATTCCACGTATTAAAAATGAAGTACATACTAAACAAATGAAGATGTGAGTTGATAAACAATGTAATTCCTTTACATCAAGGTACTTTAAAGTACTCATCTCTAATGAAAGAGGAATAAAATATTAATTGGTATATGTAAAACACCTATGATCTGATGAGAGGGTTTTAATAAAGTAGAATGACAATTCAGTATTTTCAACTGCAAAATTACAGTACCTACCAACTTCTACAAGATATGAGTGGTCATCCACTATGATCTCTCCCCTTAATCGTTTGTCTTGACAGTCAACTATCACCAACTCTGCATTCATATCCTTTCATAGGCAAGGAAAAAAAAAAATTTTAATAAAGTTCTCCCAGAATTCAAGCTGGTTCACAACTGGATCTTGTAATTCTCCCTTTCATAAAATACACTTACCTTCTGCTTAGTATATATGACAATGGTGATCAAACTATCCGTTTGGAACCAGTCATAACTGTAAAACAAAAAACACAGTGAAGAAAAAAATATATACTTTCTTTGGGCACACCAAAATATATTTCATTAGCAGTTTTCAAGCAGAGCTTCGTTCATGAATTTACAAGCCAAATACATTATTTGGTATTTTTTTTAAGAGATAAGTCCAGAGCCAATAATTTTGAAGAGACTACTAAAATAAGAACAGTCTAATTATGCATCCTGATAGTCAGCACATTGTAGTTAAAATTATATGGCATTGGTTTTACTTAAAAGGCACGCACATACCCTTTACAGCATATGAACCTTCCTAACAAGATGACTGAAATCCTTGACTCCAGACAAAAGTATTAAATAGCCAGGGTGGCTTCCAATAGCCAGGGTGGCTTCCAAGAGTTATAGATTCCATGCACATACCACAAAACCACACTTCCCTTCATCTCCCCAAATCAAGATTTTACATTCTTATGTTCCCAAGCTGCCCAAACCTTGTAATAAATCCAGGGTAAGGTAAGAAACAGAAAGCCTTCAAATGCTAGTCGTTTGTATGGCCTTACACTTGCCAAGAAGTAACTTACCCACCCAATCTCAGAAAAGCTATTCCTTTCTCTAACCGTTTTCATGGAGACCATACATCTGACAATCTCATGCCTGGCTCTCCACCATAGACATCTATAGTTCTCACTTGACTTCCAGCTGGGTTGCAATCCCAGCCAGTTAAGTCAACTCTGTCCCCACAACAAAGTTAACCCCTTGCATCTACATTACTACTGTCTTCTCCCTTCCCCAATGTCCTAACCACTTCCGTCTACTGTTCGGACTCCCGGACCAGAAAAGAAGGCAGAGAGGGAGGATGCCCCCTCCAGCAGACACTCCTGACAGCCAACATGTCCTAGGCTGCACACCTTCCAGTCACACACCAGAACATGCCAGACACACAAAGGAAGAAAGGCAGCAAGGTTTGGGGAGCACTCCAGAAGATAAGCCACATTCCAGTTGTTCACAAGCCACAGTATTTTATACGACTGCATGTAACTAGCCCAGAGATTACACATTCACAGGAGATTTTGATGCAAAGTGAGAAGCTGAACCTTGGCGACACAAGGCATCATGGAGTAAAATGACACCTCAGTGACAACAGCCGGCATATCACAGTGGAGTTTTAGGGCCTGCTTTGCATATTTTAGAAACTTGAATACAGCTGTCACATCTTAATAGATTCCAGCTTGTAATGAAGTACTTTTCCAAGGCATGCCAACTCATACGTTTATGGACAAATTAACTAAAGTCAGAAAAAGTAATCAGCCCAGTTGGAATCACTTTCCAGGAATTTTCTCAAGAAGCAAGGCTGAGGAGCGTGCAAATATAAGCCATACATTTGTATACGATGCAAGGCGGTGCAAGAGTTAGAAGCAGACAGAGCAAGCCAAGAACTTTACATCATCATCTGCCTATACGGTCAATATAACCTTTGGCAAGTTGTTCAAACCTGAACCTCAACTTTCCTACTTACAAGAGGATGGTAATGATATATACTCATTTAGCTGAAACACCAAGAACTAACCATGGAAGAAGCTGCCTGCATTCATTAAGAACTACACAAAATTATTAAACAGACAATGTTCAACAGACAATGAAGACAAAGATTTACCTTGGAGTTAAATCTTTGGCAGAAGCACCCAGTACTTTCTTCTCAGGAAGCATACCTACAAAGAGCAGAGAGTCATTAAAATATTTGCTGTGATGCTCACTTAATAGAAATCGTAATCAGAGATGTTTTGGGTTTTTTTAAATTGAATGTTCTAAATACCCCTCCACAATGTTTACTGGCTTTATTTCCACAGGCAGCCAGAAGTATCCATGTACTTTTTAAATTTTGTTTTTATTCAGCACTTTGTCTTGGAGAGCAGGCTCCTAGAACATGAAGTTCTACTTCAGAAATTAAGAGTTCCATATACCACAAAACCCATGCATGCAGCCCTTCTGGTACATGTAGCTTGGTCTGTTATTAGCTTGTGCTTTCACACTTTGTGATAGTGAAGCATAGAAAATAGGTTATCTGAATGTATTTCCTTTAACAGAACTATTTGTTCATACAGTTCAGATGAACAAATTCAATTTGGGACGTCTGGTCTAACCTAATTCACAAGTAAAATTGCACGTCAGTCAGTTAAGCAAAGATATCAGCCTTAATCTCTCTACTTTGCACTTTGCTAGGAATTTTCACAGAATTCAGCTACTCACTTTAATTATTAAACAACATGAAACAGTCTGAAAAAGCCTTTGCTGGGAGGCAACACTTGGTCAATCTTTGAAAACGTCAACTGTACTGATCTCTGACCTAATAGAAACTGAACATATTTTGCAAAAACTTGTGCAGAGATGACAGATAAAAGCAACTGCAATCCTTCATCAATTTTAACACAAAGAAGTTATATAGAATCATGATGGATGAAGCTACACAGACTGAAATATGGTATGATTTGTAACACCACATGAACAGCAGAAGTTTTCCTGGACAATGGCTAGGCAGAGGTCTAAGGTAACAGTTGGTAAGTGCTGGTTTCAAGCCCAAAAGCAAACCTGGCAAACCTGAAATGGCTATGCATAAAATAATTTAACATATGAATTCTCAGTTACCTACATGATTCTCTTCTAAATGCCAGTAAGTTTTGTAGTTTGACTACAAGCTTAAACACAGTAATTGAATGGCTCCACCATGTGGGAAGCAGATAAAAACAAAGAGAGTCACTCTGGTCTAATCCAATCTGTCAAAACTATTTGATCATCCAGATGGGGGAATTAACCTAAAGCAATTAAAACTAGCTAGAATTACTTATTCTTTGATCCTTAATTACCCCTAAGTACACACCATCTGCAGCTGCCAAGGAAGCTAAATGGCAGAGCAGTCAGATCATTGCAAAAGAAAACCAATCACCTAATGATAAAAGCCTTCTCAAAGGCTAATCCTTTCTTGAGGACATATATCATATGCTTAGGTTGGCCTCCATGGATAAGAGGAATTCATGGTCATACACACTCCTATTTGCTTTTGCAGGTCAGTGGAAATATATGAACAGCCACAATAAAACAGAACATTCTGGCAAACCAAGTTATTTATGAATTATTCGGAAATACTGTAAGATGCTATGTGAAAACAAGAAGTCACACTGCAATAAAAAGACAATGATTCAGGTGATCAATGAATCAATTAAGGAAAGTGGTCTACTGGTCACAGTGGTCATAAATAAAAGAAAAGCTGGTGGTGAAGCCAAAAGCTGATGGCGGGCATGAAATGAAGGAGTTTAAGGTGACCAGAATGAACAGCAGAATTACAACGCTGCATCTCTCGAGACCAAACTTCAGCTTGTTCTGGGAACTGCTTTGCAAAATCCTATGGGATAGCAAGGCTAGTGGTAGAGTTTCTCACGTTATCCTCCTAGCCACATTGGAGAGAGCTGGGTTTGATAGGTGGATTACAATCTGGATAGAAAATTAGTAGGACTGCCAGTCACAAAAGGTGCGATCAACAGTACAAAGTCCAACTAGTGGCTAGTTTCAGCTGGTACTCCCTAGGGAACAGGGAATGCTGATACTGTTCGATACTGTCATTAGCAACCTGAAGGGCACAGACTGTCCCACTGTCAGGAAGCATGTGAGCAATAACAAATAACAGCAAGCAGTTGAAACACAAAAGGTTATGGCTACCATCCAAAGGGACCCAGACAGACTGAAGAAATGGGCTGACAAAAGCTCCATGAAGCTCAAAAGCAAATGCAAAATTTTGCACCTGTGGAGGAAAAAAAAAATCTGATGCAACAAAACAAGTGAGGGGCCTAGTTGGATAGAAAGGAGCTTTGCAGAAAACCTTCCAGGGACTTAGTAGACAAATCGAACTTGGGCAGATACTGCATCCTTGTGGTGATGAAGGCCAACTTTATCCTGGGCAAGAGCATAGCGATCAGTTCAAGGGAAGTGATTCTTCCTCTCTGTTCAGCATTTGTGAGACCACATCTGGAGTACTGCATCCAGTTTTGGCTCACCAGTGCAGGACAGACATTGATATACCAGATCAAGTCCAGGGAAAGGCCACCAAGACAGTCAGCAGCTGGAGCACAGGATATATGAAAGGAGGCTGAGGGAATCGTGTTTGTTCGGCCTGCAGAAGAAAAGGCTAAGGGGGAAATCCAACTGCAGTCTTCAACTACCTAAAGAGAAAAGCATGAGAGAGAAGGAAGCATAGAGGAGATAGCCAGACTCTTCTCAGAGGGGCACAGCAGAAGGACAAGAGGCAATAGACAAGTAGCAGCAAAAATTCTGGGTATGGATGTGTGTGGGGGGGAAAACACCACCCAACAAAACAACAAAGGAAAAATCAAAATACCACACCTCTTCCCCTCCCATGAGGAGGATGGCTCATGAGTCATCTGATGTAGTATTGAAGCTCACCCTGCTCTGAGCAGAAGACTGGAGTGAACAAGCTCCAGATGTTCGTTCCAATCTGAACTATTTTAGGACGCTCTGAAAGCTTTCTGTACCTATTGTTTTCCTTGTTCTTAGAAGGGCCAGAACAAGCTTGACCCATATTTGTAAACTCCAAATATTACTAAGAAAAATAGGAACACTTATATTACTTACGCTAAAGAATTCCAGCTGGTTGAACCTCAAGATTTAGTTTTCTGTACTTGAAACTCTAGCTCAAACTCTCCTCCCATCACCCTTTTCCACAGCGTAAGTTTTTTCAAGGTCTGATGTGCATATACTCAAACACCAGCTTGTTTTCAGATAGTGGAACTGCCCATGTAATTTTTTTTTCCTATTAATATTACAAAAATCATCATCATCATAGCTTGGGTGAAAGAGAAATTCAGTTTAGCTCGAAAGTGCAAGGCTGAAAAGATAATTTTTAAAATACATCTTTGATGCATATCTGTTCTCAAACAAATACGAAGTTTTCAGACATGCTTTGGTAATGGCAGCGTTTTGAAATTTTGATGTCTTTTGTTTGAAACTCAACTATGAACAGATGTTGAAGAGCACATTAGGCTACACCTACGCTGATTGTTATCACTAGTAATATATTCTGAAAACTTCAGCTTTAATTGCTTTTAACATTACATACAATTGATGTTCACAAAAATCAAGGATACATTTAAGTTGATTGATCCGGGCACATTTCAAATACAATTATTATTTATACATTTTAGATTGATAAGACAAAAATGTCTTCAGTAGTGCCAACAACTTCCAAAAAAATCACAGCCCATGCCATAGGCTTCTCTTGCCCATTTTCAGACAGTGATGTTTATTTCTAGACTCATTTTGACGTAAATTTACAAGAGCTAAGCACCGAGATGCAACAACTGAATATGAAAAACCTCATGGAAGATAACCTCAGGGACTGACCTCTCCTATTTTAGAAAAAGTCTTGCCAAACAGGTAAACTGAATACAACAAGCAAGCATCAGTATTTTGGCAATTTCATTGGAAACTACCATCAGAATAATTTCCTACATCTCCTGACAAGTCACATAATTAAAAAAATTCTACATCTCCTGACAAGTCACATAATTTGGACAAGAAAAGTTATTGCTAGGAGTAGGAAGGGAAGCAAGATGGAAGAGAGACAGAATATTACTTATTTCTTTCTACCTGGATCCACTGTGAATATGAAAGATGCATAGCTCTGGACAGCTAGACAAGCACAAAAAGTAAGGAATTCATGAACCAAAATAACCAAGAGGAGAAGAACATTGAAATAGGTGGTAAAAATAGTCTTCTACTTGAATACAAAATATTTATGGTGTATTTGATGACTACTAGCTGCTAGCGATATCATTCTGGTAGAGTAAAGCAGAGTTTGTTTTCTAATTTTCCCTGTCCTTCAAAGCAAGATTAACAGGTTCCAACAACTTGTTCATTGCTGAAGAAAAAAAAAAAAAAGTCAGGCAGCAGACCCTGTCAAAGTTTAGCATAACATCTTATTTGTTCCTATTTTGCTCTATAGCCTTATAAAATCAATCTTGCTTACTTTTATATGATGTATGTTTAACTTTTTGTGTAGCTCAATGCTTGTGCATACTAAAAGGTAAACTGCCTTTTAGAAGTCAAATACAATGTTCAGAGAACACAAAGGGAGGGTAAGGAAGACAGCATGAGAAAGAAGAAAACAAATGGGAACTCAAATTCACCAGAGGAAGCACGAACAAGTTACCTTTTCTTCACTGTGCCTGGACTTGCTGGGACACCACCCTGAGCACTTCTCTGGCTTCACCTTAAGACACATCTAGGTTTCTGCTCCTGCTACTCTGAAATTTGAATGCTCTTAACTCCTTTTCCAAAGTTTCAGCCTAGACTTTTCCATGACCAATTTGCACCTGTCGCCTTTCATGCCAATAGGTCAGCCTTGAGTTCAAGTTGTATTATTTCCCTTCACAGATGTTCATCTTATTTGCTCAACCAACACAACACCATCACACCTCATTTGATGGGACTTCATAAGCCATATTCTTTTAGGAAGCCTCTTATACTAATAGCCCAGTCATTCTCAGTTACATCTCAAGTAGTTCAGTCATGCTGTGATCAGCTAATTCACCTCCATTTCAACTTGTTTCTCAGTGATGACCTTTCAGCTTTTAGTAGAGACTTAGTAATTTTAAGTGTTCCCCAAGATATTGTCTTCTCTGCTACTCCAGCCCCATGGCCACCTAGCTTTTCTGATACAGAGAAAGATCAAAAAGCCTGGCAGTTTTGTAGTGGCAGATTTCATAGCACACAGTAATTTGTGACTTATCTTGTCCAACTCGAGCAGAAAGCTTGTCCATCTCATACCTCCCTTATCTGTACTACTCTACTGCAGTCTTAGAATACTTTTAAACACTGAATTCACAATGCCTGATTAAAATTTTGCCTTCTGTAATTTCCACAGATCACTAGAGCCTCAACATCAAATTCAAATACAAAGACAGACAGAAGTCCGGATAAACAATGCTCATTCAATAATATTCAAGTAAGTTTAAGATTTACTCCCCACCTCACTCCAAGTGAATACTTACCATTAAGCTGTTTCTTCTCTTCAGATAGAGTAGAAGAAATCTCTACAAGCATTAAGAAAAAACAAGCACAACAGTAAGAAGTTATGGCACAGTACTTGCATACATCATGCTAAAGAATTAAGCCAAAGTAAGGATCTCCAAATAAACCTTCCAAAACATTAACAGATTGACCAGGACACTTCAGATGTCAAGAACTCACAAACAAATGCAGCACTGATTACCATTTCAAAAGATTATGTATAATTGAAAAAATACTATGTTAAAAATGCCAAAAGTTGCACAGCACTAAAGGGTAGGAAACGCAAGAACCCTGGCACTTCAAAACAAACATCACAGATTATCTTGTGCAATTACAAACTTCATAGCTGAGAAGCTCGCTATATCTGTCAGATTTTTGATGACACTTGTCTCACGACAACACAGAGTAGACACCGAATCTGACCAACCCAATCCTTGGCAATCTAAACCCAATCCTTGGCAGAAACCCAGGAAAAAGAAAATCTTCCTATAAGCTCTTTCTGTCAAATGGTTTTATTTGACAAGTTATTACCTGAGTTTTTCATTAAATCTACAGTGTGCTGCAACTACTCCAAAATACTAGCAGAAAAAAAGGAGATAAAGACCAAGCACGTGAATTACATAGTGTCAATTCATAGATAAGGTGCTCAACTCGAGGGGAAAGGCACTGCACCTCTCAGCCACATATCCTTCTGTTCATAGCAAATCTGTGAGGAAACTAGTCCTCTGGATGTACCCAAGCCCCTTTTGCCTTCTCTACATTTCACATCTCAGAATGTCCCAATATGAAGGCCCATTTAATATTCTTTTATGGGAGCCAGGTTTGGGGAGGTGGGAGAAACCAATGTGTTCTTCCTGCTCTCTTTTATGGAAACCAAAATGTCAATGTTTCTCCCCTGTTCTTCTGAATCCCTCCCAGTGCTCTGCATCACAGCAGCCAGCATTGGAAGAAAAATGCCACTGTAAGAGAAGTGAAGGAACGCCTCCTGGAACAAAGCACCAAGCATACAGTATTGCAGAATGACTCAGAGCTGACCAAGAATTGCCTTCATCAGAGGCTTTTACGTTGTGCCACTATAAGGTAAAAACAAAACACTCCACAAAATGAATGGGACAGTTGACCCAAAATTTTTAGTTGAGGCTGCATTTGTCTGTGTATTCTGCTATACACCGCTTCAAGCTTTCTGCCAGGATAGGCAAGTCATCCACAAAGACTCGTTTCTGATTGAAGGTAAATTTGTGTACAAAAGTCTACTCTCATTTCACTGCGTTTTAACACACTGCACTGAAATTGGCATTGCAATTTTAAGGACAGTTTGAGGCACTTCCAAGACACAGCCCTACCTCTCTTCCTTGGATGACACCATAGCTCTCAGCCTAATCTCGCTGAATTAACAATAATACAACATGCATTCCGACTCCCAAGTTACATTACCACTGAAGTAACATAGGGACATATACTAAGATATGTCTATGAGAAACATTAGCAACATTAAAAGACAACAAACAAGTGTCCATGCTAATGTTTACAGCTGAGTACCCTGAAGGGAAGGCAAGCAGTTTAATGCTGTACAGGTTTGCTGAGGGAGATACTGAAATAATCTCTACATGCCTGGGTACTGCTGTAGTTGCTGCACTGGCCTTCTCAGCAAGTACAAACACTACACATTTCAGTGCACAGCTCCACTGCTCTGTAACATCACAGAAGGGACACATCAGAAATTCCTATTAGCCACTACCAAACCATCAAGCAGCATTCCCAAAAGACAAGTTGACAAAACATTAACTATCATCAGCATCTTCAAAAGACTCTTCTTTCTTAAAACAAAACAAAACAAACAAACAACACCCTGGAGTATGCAAGGACAAGCTTCAGCTTCCTTCAACAGTTCAGTGAGCAAGTAATTGTACAACCTTCCAAAAAAACACAGGAACCAAAACAGCTAAACAACCGCAAATCTTCCAGCAGTGCCCCAACAAACCTACATCTGCCTTACTTGCACTGTATTGAGACTGTACCAAACACCAAGTACTGATGTTTGCCCTACTGCCAAACACTAACTCTCTGCCACAAAAAGAAAGCAATTTATACGGTAATTTGAAGGCCTGGCTTTCCTCTGTACTTATGGGCCTATTTAATCCTATATTCAAAAACATGCATCTTAACTCTGTATTTTATTCTTCCATTTTCAAATGCAAACTTTTCTGAATACTGTCTTCTCGAAGGACACAAGACAAGAATTATTGCTGGCTGACAGTGAAGTTAGTCAATCACATTTTTGATAATTCACTATTCAAAAGAGGAGGATACATAACCTATCAGTTATCAAAGTAAACTTTGAGAATTTCACAATGAAGAATTTCAGCAAATCCAGTCTAATCGATTTTATTCTTAACTAATGAAGTTACATTTTTTTCAAGCCTGAAATGGCCAAGAGAGACACAGGCCTTTTTTTGTTGTTGTGGTTTTTGTTTGTTTGTTTGGTTTTTGTTTGGTGTGGGGTTTTTTTGTTTGTTTGTTTGGGGGGTTTTTTGTTTG